GCGGAAACGTTCGGGGGTGGATGACTTCATGTGGTAGCGTAACAAATGAATACATAGTAAAGAAAGCAATACAACCATCATATATATAATTGAAAGTTTACATTTGTCAAAAGTTACATGTTCAAAACCAATTACAATATGATGTCAAAATATGAGATTAAACTGGCGCCGCAGCATCTCTTCTTCAAAAGCATACTAGTACCTGAAATTTACTGAATCCCTGGGACATACAAGTAATTTTGAAAGAGTTGATCAGCATTTAAGCTGGTGAATTCCATAAGTATTTAAATGACAATGTTTAAATGAAATGAAATGTTTTATCTTTTCTTGTGTGTGTTTAGAAAATCCTATATTTTCTACTAGCATAAAAGTAGCCTTCACTCGAGACCAATGTTTGTTTCCAAAATGTATGTAAAAGTAAAATAATAAATGAGTTTGAAAACCTTGTAAATCAATGCGTTTTTAATACCCCTTGTGAGTTTTATAACCATACTATTGACTCGAAATGCCTATACACAACGTTCTTCAGGCGTTGGAATGTTATGACGTTTGTCACCCCAAACGGTGGACTGTAGCTAACAGTCAGGGCGCGGGTTGTCAAGCCCGTATAGATCTATACACAAACACCATGCTCCCCCTCCAAGGGATTCTGGTATATAATACAGGACTTGAGATGTGTACTCGAACGTACATGAAGTTAGTGTCTCACAAACCCGTGGTATAAAAACAGATCAACTTGTTAAAATGTTACGTTTGTTCTTGTATACGAAGGTAAACCTCTTGAAATATATGTTTCTAGTACATAAGAGTTAGAAATCTATTCGTAAAACTATACCTATTATAGTTTCGAAAAGTGTGCTTTTTGTTTAGAAATACTTAGAAAAAGAATAATTTAAGAACAGTTTAGTTTTACACATGTATTACAACAACTTCATATTTTAAAAGATTCGAATACTATTGTAACATATGTGTTGTATTTATATATAAAAGTTCCTTTAAAAGTTTATAAACCGAATGTGATTTGAGTATTTAACAGTATATAAAAGAGTTTCTTTATGTAACACACGATAATACTCGTGTGTTTTACTTGTAATCCCCCCTTTGAAAGCATATAAAAGTATTTAGAATAATTAAAACGGTTGATTAAGGGGTATGAAACTCACTTGAAAGTTTTGGAGATAGCGAGATGGAAGACCGGGCAGAGTTTCGTCTCGGGAAACGGATTTTCCTCGGGATTCTCGGGAATCTCGGGAGTAAAATCGACCTTCGGGACTTGAGCCAAAAAGACCAGAGCTTCGGGTTTGAAAGGGCACGGAAAACGAGGCAAAGTAGAGTGAGAGAGAAGAGAAATGAGCCCCTTCTTTGGAAACCCTCGCATGCTATTTATAGGGAGGCTGGTCTGCCTCGGTACGCGGGGCGTACGCTAGTACGCAGCGCGTACGCGTGCGTCATGCGTGACCGAGCCCGACCGCCTCTGCCTCGGATGGGACGGGTTCCTGGGTTCGCGGGTCGGATGGGACGGATCGCTGGCACGCGGGTCGGATGGGACGTCGGGTCGGGTCTTCGGATCGTGCGACGTGGACTGTTTGAGACCGAGCATTCTCGGGTACGCGGGGCGTACAGCAGTACGC